GCGCCCCGTGCTGCCGCTCGCTCGCTGCCCCTCGCCGCAGGAAAGAGGACATGTGGGAAAAACACACACACACACACACACACACACACAAACACACAAAAACACACACAGTGGGAAAAAAACACAGCGTGTGTGTGTGTGTGTGTTTTCCCACAGTGTGTGTTTTTGTTCCCACTGTGTGTTTTTTTCCCTCGGAGGGAGGGCCTCGAGCCGATCGGTCCGATCCGACATACAGCGGAGGCCAATCCACAAGAAACCCACCGCGAGAAACCCAACCCTAAGACCCCAGAACGTCCATGGACTTCGGTGTGGGAACGTCGATCTCGAAACCGTCGAAACCCAAGAAACCCAGGGCACCCTGGAGGCAAGCAGGGTGCTTCTTGGCATGGGTCTCCGCTGAATCGGCTCCGGCAGGCCAGGCGGGCCCGGTCCGATCCGACTCTGGTCTTCCGATGCGGCCCGGTGCGGGGCTTGAGCGCGTCTTGCGAGGCTCCGAGACGTTGGGTCCGATGTCGAGGCACTCTTGATGATCATCCCCTGGATCCCGCCAGCCCTTTAAGGCGTGAGTGGTTTAGAGAGGTTCGTCTTCTAATCCGCCTTCTTCTCCTTCGGGAGGGGAAAATCACTGTTCCCTAGTAATACACACCCCCTCCCCCAGGCGACAGGCAGCCAACCAGGACAAATTACACCCCCGCACGCCATCCCTGGAAAAAAAACAATACAAAATACGCTTTGGGGCAACTTCTTGGGTCATGCTCGTGGGCCCAGCGAGTACTTTGCATTGTTTTTTGGTAAGGAAGGCGGTGGGTTATTATATTTATATATATATGTATACATATATACATATATATATATATATATTGCCTGCTGTGCGCAGGGCCATCCTCCGTGTCAGAAACCATACAAAGTGCACTTCGCGGCTAAATCTCGATCATGCGCGGCCACCGTGCGGTCACTTTTCATTTGCTTCTGGCAAGGACGGCGGGATCCTGACAGATTGCCCGCTGTGTGCAGGCCCACAAGACACCATGATGGCCACCCCGCCGCGAACCTCCTCGCCGCCAATCGAGTTTCCTGACTCGTTGATTGGCGAGGATCCGCCGGCCCCCTTGTGGGGCCACCAAGCTGTAGGGCGAAGGTTCGCACTTTCCTGTACCAATTGCAGCTTCGAATTCCCACTGTTACAATTCTGCTTCTTGCTGCTTACTGTTCCGTGTTGACTTCTTGCTGCTTACTGTTCCTTGTTGATGGACCGCGCGAGGGGGGGAGGTCCAAAACGAACATTTTCACCACGGAGAAATCATATTGTCTGAATTCCTGAGGTGAATTTTTAAAAATTAACACCCCTCACACTAAAACGCAAGGGATTTGCCACATTTCTGACATTCGGTGGCACCCCTCACGCCGATCGGCGGGATCAAGGTCCAAAAACACACGGTATTTGCCACGTTTCTAAAATTCGGTGGCACCCCTCACGCAGATCGGCAGGGTCAGGGTGCAAAAACCATAAAGGATTTGCCACATTTCTGACATTCGGTGGCACCCCTCACGCAGATCGGCAGGGTCAGGGTCAAAAAAAACAAGGGATTTGCCACGTTTCTGAAATTCGGTGGCACCCCTCACCCAGATCGGCAGGGTCATGGTGCAAAAACACCAGGGATTTGCAACATTTCTGACATTCGGTGGCACCCCTCACGCAAATCGGCAGGCTCAGGGTCAAAAAAAACAAGGGATTTGTCACGTTTCTGAAATTCGGTGGCACCCCTCACGCAGATCGGCAGGGTCAGGGTGCAAAAACACATAGGATGTGCCACATTTGGGAAAATTCGCTTGCACTCCTCACGCAGATCGGCGGGGTCAGGTTGCAAAAACACACGAATTCTGCCACATGTTTGAAATTCGGTAGCACCCCTCACGCAGATCGGCGGGTCAGGGTGCAAAAACTCACGGGATGTGCCACGTTTCTGAAATTCGGTGGCACCCGTAGCACCCCTCAAGCAGATCGGCGGGGTCAGGGTGAAAAAACGCAAGGGATGTGCCACATTTCTGAAATTCGGTGGCACCCCTCACGCAGATCGGCGGGGTCAGGGTCAAAAAAAACAAAGGATTTGCCACGTTTCTGAAATTCGGTGGCGCCCCTCATGCAGATCGGCAGGGTCAGGGTGCAAAAACATAGGGGATTTGCCACATTTCTGAAATTCGGTGGCACCCCTCACGCAGATCGGCAGGGTCAGGGTCCAAAAAACAACGGATCTGTCACGTTTCTGAAATTCGGTGGCACCCCTCACCCAGATCGGCAGGATCAGGGTCAAAAAAAACAAGGGATTTGCCACGTTCCTGAAATTCGGTGGCACCCCTCACGCAGATCGGCAGGGTCAGGGTGCAAAAACACATGGGATTTGCCACAGTTTTGAAATTCGGTGGCACCCCTCACGCAGATCGGCAGGGTCAGGGTCGAAAAACAAACATGTCCCGACACTGCTTCACGGCGGCGTCCAGCCCTCATGATTTAGCTTTTGCATCTCCTATTATCCGAGACATGGGGCCGGCGGCATGGGCGAAGCCCTTACGGATAACTCGGTGGCAACTCATGGGAGCCTCCCATACCATCTTGTCGGCTCTTGCAGATCAACGCTTATCGACGCTTGTCGACGCTAAATCGACGCTAAATCGACGCTAAAATCGACGCCAACCGACGCTAAACCGGCGCTACCTCATCAACTCCCAGACGCTAATCGACGCCAATCGACGCTACAGATGGACTTAAGAGGGTACATCTAGGCCTCCCAGATGGGGTCCAAGTAGATGGGGTCGGAGGATCGCGCCGTATCGCCGATGCATCGATGATGCGACTCGATGCGGAGCCCGATTTTCTCCCAACGGACGTCGCCGATGCATCGCCGACGTCGGCATCGCCGATGCATCGTCGATGCATCGCCGATGTATCGGCGATGCGGCGCGATCCTTCGACCATATCTACTCGGACCCCATCTAGGAGGCCTCTTCGGGGATGGACAGAACTCCTTTTAGTAAAACGTGGTTTAACGAAAACGACCTCGGGCCCAAACCTGTCGGGCGCAAGCCTGGAAAATGACGGCTGCGGCGCCCTCTCGAGAACCGAAAACGGACAATTCATGAATCGACGTGACAGGGTGGGGGTTCTGTCCACCCCCGACCTCTGGCATACCCAGGCTCCCATGCTTCGCTGCCGAAGGATCGGGCTCGGATCTCTCGCCGCCGAGCCACGCTGCCCTGGATGAGTGCGCTGCCCGGGACAAGGGGCAAGCGGGCCCGCTCGGGGCGAGCCTCCTGGCAGCAGCCCAGCAGCAACGCTGGGCCGGGCACGTCCTCCTACAGGCGGGCTCTGGACGAAAAAACCGTCCCCAGGTCTTCTTGACTGTTTCTGAAGATTACCTCGCCGTCGCTCGGACGTCCACTCCCTGTGCTTTTTGCGGTTTCGTGCGTGCATTTGTCACTACATGATTAAGAATGCTTCTCGATGGTCGTCGCCAACGTCCGAGCGATGCCAAGTTACTCCTGTGGAGCAACAGGCCCGACGTGACCATAACTCGGGCGTTGGCAGAACTGGGTTTAGTGGAACCTGGTTTAGTGATGTGTACCGGGGGCGCCCCCCCGCCCCATTTCCACCAACCGGAACTGCCGTCACCCGAAAAACACCAGTTACGGCAAACCTGGTTTAGTGCATCTGGCCAATTCAGGGGCCCCAGGGCCCTACCACTAAGCGGGTCCCCTTACCCGGGGTCCTGGCCATACCCGAATAACTCGGAGGAGGGCAACGTGAGACAACGGCCGTGAGACAACGGTGGCCACATCGGCTCAAAATCGGTCCCCGGACCCCTCCCGGGGTCCAAACGCACCGACTTTTCACGCTGCGTCCAGCCGTGGCGACGAGGAGGCCCCTCGGAGGCGAGAAAGGCAAAAACGTCACCCTTGTCTCACCCTGCCCTCCTCTGAATCACGCACACCAGTCGGGGAGACGTAAGACCCGGGTACGGGGGACTCGGAAATCCCCGACGAGGTCGTCAAAAAAATGACGAGGCCGAGCCTGCATTTTGACGAGGCCTCCCGCTGCAGACATCCCACGAAACTCCTACTCGTCAAAATCCGAGTCGCGGTCGTCAAAAAAAATAGCGAACCCGAGTCCTGGCAAACCCGGGTCTTACGCTCCCCCGAACCAGGCGCGAGCGGGCACGCCCCGGGCGGGGCCTCCTGCCCGCAGCGCCGGCGGCGCGAGCCGCGAAGGCGGCCTCGCTGGCCGCGCGAGGTGCGGCGGAGGCGGGCCGGCACGCGGGCGCGACGCGCGGGGGGCCCACGGGAGAAGAGCCACGGGACGCACATGGACATACTAGTACTATATGTCCTCCTTGGAGGCGCGCGTCCGACCCGAACATACAGTATACCCATCTTGTAGTATATCGTTTCCCGAGCGGTGTGGCCAGAAAGCGCCCGCCACGACGCATATACTATAAGATTTCTCGGTGCGCGCGTCGCCCCAGGGGGGGCGACGCACATATAGTATAAGTATGTTGGGGTGTTGCCGAAGCCACTCGAGTCAGGTCGGGCCTGTCCCCCTGCAGGGGGATCCTCCTGGAGGAAAAAGCCGCCGGCCCAACGGGCCAGAGGCGTGCTTAAGATCTCCGGTAACTACTTCACAATATATTTCTCGTTCGCGCGCGCGGGGCGGCCCCTGGGGGCCCCTGGCCGAAGAGTACCCCGGCCGATCCCCGGCCGGGGTAATACTCCACAACTACTCAAAAGATGCCGCAAAATAAAATACCCAAAACATGGTCCCCGGACTATTTTGTGACTGTTTTGGAACAGTACCCCTGTAGAGGGACAGGCCCGACTCAACACTTGAGCAGGGCTGGGGGGTCAGGTCTGCAAACACCCCAAAGGGACGTCATGGTGCGCAACCCAACCGTTCGGTCAAGCTGAAGTTGATGCACCACACCTGGCGTCGAGCCAAAACCTTAGACACA